GCACGTATAAAAAATATTAAAAATAATTTTTCGATAAAATATAATAATCAAAATTCCCCTGAGACCAAAATACCCCTTGAAACTTTCAGGGGTATTTTGGTTATTTTATTTTAAGGAAAATATTTTTTTATATATTTTTTGCTAGTGCGAATTTAATAGAGGAACGAACGTCTAAAATTTGATGTCAAAATAGTTTATAGAAAAAAATTAAAAATAAAATAGTGTAGAGACATGACATTGTGATTGGGGCATCCTCCATTCAGAATGGACGATTGGATAAGGAGGAGGATAGAACTTCCATGGTGTAGATGAAGCATAGAAAGCTTGTCCTTACAAAATAAGATAAGTAGTTGGGAAAGCTTTCTATGTTCCCCCTACAATATAGAAGTTCTATCCTCCCCCTTATCTAACTGTCTATTTTTTAATGGAGGGTTAAGATTGCCCCAATCACAATGTCACGTTTATTTTTAAATTTTTTTTTCTATAAACTATGTTGATACCAACTTTTGGACGTCCATTCCTCTATTAAACTCGCACAAATGAAAAATATAAAAAACAATATTTTCAATAAAATAAAATGACCAAAATTTTCCTAAAAGATTTAAAGTGTATTTTGGTAGTTATTTTTATCAAAAAATTATTGTTAATATTTTTATAGGTGTGCCCCAATGAGAAGATGGCAGGTATCAAATTTTATATTCATAAAAATTGTATTAAAAAATTAAAAATAAAATACTTTGAAACGTCGGATTTAAGATCAAACGGTGAGTGACTCTCTTGATAAAAAATAAACGGCTGGATGATAGAGGCATGATAGAAACTTCTATGTTATAGGGAGAACATAAAAAGCTTTCCCTAAGTAGTTAGAGGTCATGAGAAGCGAGAGACACCATGAGAAAAGAAAAAACTTTGCTACCACTTAGAAAAATTTGTAGAAATAGGTGTTACCTCGTTATGTATGAGAGATGAAAAAGGGCAGAGCGCATGAGTGAAGAAAAAGAGAGAGATGAAAAATAATAATGAATATTGTGATTTAGATGAGAAAAAAGATGATATTTGATTTGATGAGATTTGATTCATGTAAAAGTTCTAGGGTGATATTTAGTATAATATCTATCTCTCTCAAGGATGTATTTAGGTTGTTGTTCAAATATTAATTTTTCCCCTAAATTTCAAAAAACTTATCCCATGGATTTTTGTTTTTTTTGTTTTAAATTGGGGCGAGAATTTCTCCATGTGATGATACAACTTTTTCTGGTTTTCATTTTAAAAAAAAAAAACAATATGAACTTCTCCATAAAAGTTGCATATCTTTGGGGATAATTTTTAGGAGGAAAGGAAAGTGGATAAATTTGGGTTAATATAAAAAATTACCCACATACCTTATAAATAATAAAAACTAATTTTTCATATTTTAAGAATTTAGATAAATTTTTTAAGAGGTGATATAATTGTATAAAAACTTAGATATCCGTACCTTTCCTCTTAAAAATTTTAAAAACTTATCCATGTACCTTTCATGCTAAAACTTTTTATGTAAAAACAATGGTACATGGATAAGTTTTTTAAAATTTGAAATTTTAAGGGGTAATATAAACTTATTCACATACTTATTCTCCTTAAAATTTGGGATGATCATTTTTCTTTCATTCATAGACTCTATCTCAGGGAAAGAGGTTGATGTCGTGGTGGTAGCACACCCCATATCTCAGTTGCATGTTCTAATTGCTCATTCTAATTCAAAAATAGGTAGGGCCATGTCATCCCTATTGAATTACCAAAAAAATAAAAAGACCCCATCTTAGAAAAATTGAATTTTATTTAAAATATAAAAAACCTTACATCGATTTCTACATCCTAGCATGAATTTCCTCTATTTTTAGGACACCGGCCCTAAACTCTCTCTCATCTATTGAAAAGGTTGTGTTAATATTGAAAACCCTCTAATTGATTGTCTCGACATTGAGATAGACAGAAATGAAAAACGAAATGATTTGGAATACAAACAATTGTACATTTTGCAACCCATTATCTGGACCATTTATTTTTAATATATTAATGTTTTTAAAAGATCTACATGACTTGAATAATTTTTTAAGTTTAAAAATTTATAATTAAAGATGCAAAATAGATATTTAGGCCATTCTAATAATTTTTTATATGAAAACTACATCTTAAAATAAAACTTAGAGATTCGCCTTTGACTGTTTTCCTTACGCAGTCCACACCTTTTATATAAGGACCTGGTTTCTATGCAGTCAAGCCTGCAAATGTAGAAATGTGGCCCTATTGATAAATTTATTTTTGAGATGGATTTTTTAACTTAAATCTAACATGGAGATCATGAATATGGAAAAAGAAGTAAATTTTAAAAATTACAAATAATAATTTTAGTAAGAAAGCATTTAGACCATTAGTTCTCATTGGTTGCAAATGGAACACCTATTTGTATCTATCTTTAAGATAGATGCTTTACACTTTTTGGACTGCATATGTAGTCATGCATACCTCCCGCATGAAACAATTTCCTTTATGTAAACATTGTCCCCATAAAAATCACTCCATTATTGCAAAAGGGATATATGTTTTAGAGAAAATATCTCCATAAACCCCATTTTCAACTGTCATTTCTTCATTGACCTAAAGTTACAAAACCTACCTTATTGCATAGAAGTTCACACTATTATATCTCTTAACCCCCTGATCATATTTGATTTATTTATTATTAATTTATTTGATCCAAACAAACTAAAAAAAAACCTGGTTTCTAAATCCCTCTCTCTTAACCCCTCTCTCTTAACGTGATCCCTTTCTGTCTCCCCCATCAACCTCCCAAACCTCACTCTCTCTCTATCTCCCCCCTCACTTGCTCGTCGGAAACCATTTTTGGCCAGCCATCATTTTGGCCGGAATCTTGACAGGTATTTGCAGGGATAACCCACAAATTTCAATCTTTTTGGCCGTCTACTATTTTGGCCGGAATTTTGACCAAGATTTGCAGGGAGAACCTACAAATTTCAATCTTTTTGGCCGGCCACCATTTTGGCTGGAATCTTGATCGGGATTTACAGGGAGAGCTCACAAATTTCCGGTTAAGGTTTTACAGACTGAATCTTTTTGGCTGGCCACTATTTTGGCAGGAATCTTAATCGGGATTTACAGGGAGAACCCATAATTTCTTGCTTAGGGTTTTACAGACTAAATCTTTTTGGCCGGCCACCATTTTGGCCGGAATTTTGATCGGAATTTGTAGGGAGCACCACACTCCAATGGAGCAAACTAGCGAGGAGGGCCATCACCATTTTTTGTGAAGTCCCTGTATCTTTCCAAATAATCTTGAAAATTCAGCGGCGTCATCACTTTATCTTCCAAAACTAGCGAAGAGATAGCATCACCTTTCTTCAATTCCTTTTTCAACTCAGGCCTATCATAGCCATGAACCGAGGAAGCTTCTTTCAAAGATGAAGGCGAGGTTCTTGTTCTTGCTGTAGCTGAGGATGAAAGGTTGAATCCCTTCATCGGAGATCTCAATCCATGAAACAATTGATTTTCCACAGTGTTGGTCATCGAAGAAACAACAGAGCTGCCTACGATCGCTGCCAGTAACGGTTGGGTTTTTAGCCTACTTGGAGAGAGGTTTTTGATGAAGATTGTGGCCAAAACGCAAGGTTTCGGCCACAACGCAAGGTTTCCCGTTGACCTCCTGGACAGTCTAGAGAGAGAAACACATGAGGAACATGTGAAACATGTGAGGAGGGAGAGTTAAAAAAAGATGTATTTTTTAACTTGTTTAGGTTAAAAGTTGAGATAAAAATAGATAAAGTTATTTGAGAGGTTAAAAGATAGGTTTGAATTTTTTGGTTCAAGAACAAATGCAAGTTGAAAATAAAGTCGATGGAGATATTTTCCCTATGTTTATGCTCTACACTAATACATGTTGCATGGCACGCTTTTGATGATCCCCGTGCAATCCATATACACCTTCCATTGTCTCACGGGCGCACATCACCTTTCATTTCCTCTCATATGCTCCGGTGGTGCACTGTACATAGAATACGCCGGATCTGTAGTACCCAACATTGCTTGCATATGTTGCACCTTTTCCCAAAAGCAAACATTTGTTTCAAGCGGCCTCGACCGCATGAGTACATATGCGGTTTTTCAAAAAACCGTCAACGTGTTCTATCTAAAAACAATGAAAATAGGCTCGCATTTCTACAGGCGCGGGCATGGGCGCATAGAAACCGGGTCCTTTCAAATGGGCGAATCACCGAAAGTTGCACGCAGTAGTAATAAGAGTCTAAGACTAAAGAACCGCGATCTCGGGCGTTCAGAGAGAGATTATAACGAGCGATTCAGAGAGAGACTCTAGGGTTCTGCTCAAACCCTAGTTCAGAGAGAGATGAGCGGAGGTGGAGGTGGAGGTGGAGGTGGAGGTGGAGGTGGAGGAGCTGGGAACGCTTCGACGAACTCGAGCGGCTCTGCTAAAACCCCATCTGATTTCTTGAAATCAATTCGCGGTCGTCCTGTGGTTGTCAAACTCAACTCAGGCGTCGATTACAGAGGTCTGTACCTATGAATTTCTTCGTCATTCTTTTTTTTTAACACGCTTGTTTTGGATGCTAAGCGTATGAACTTCGTGCCTCCAGTTTAGTCATTGTCCATTTAGGGTTTATCCCTTTTCAGAGAGAGAGAGGGGTTATGGAAGCTGTTTCGAAGGAAGGTTAGTCTTAATTGAAGGTTGGGAGCGATGATAGAGTATTATGCGAAATTAAAATGGCTTGTGGGTCGAATTTCTGTTTCTTTGTATGGATTATTGATGAGAAAACGCAAAACCTAGTTTTTTTTTTTTTTTACTGTCTCAATATAATTTTTCTGGGAACTTTTTTTTCTTTTAATCATTTTATTGGGAAAATTTCACTGTCTTTGATTAATGAGGATTTATAGTTCAGTGGAAGTTCTTTTGATGGTGGGCGTCCTTAGTTCTAGAAGTTGTATTATCTTAAAAGTGGAAAAGGAAAATGGAGAAAGATTGTATTTTGGGTATTTCTGGTGGATAGTCCCTTGAGATTGTCTTACAAAGCAGCGAATTCCCATGAATGTGGTTGAGAACTTGGTAATTTTTTTTCCTGACCTGTTTTTAACTTAATGTACAGTGGAACTAGAGTTTATTGATAAATCTAGGGACCTACCTAGGCCATAAACACACCATTGGGTATGGGAAGTGGCTGCAGATCATGTATTGCTGATAATGCAAATTTTAATGTAGTGGAATTTCGACTTTATTAGTTTCTATGCTTCTAAGTTATCATAAACTTGATTTATGGGAGAAGCTTTGTGTTTGTAAACTTTGGCATGTGAAGATTTGTCAGGTCCTATGTATTAAATTCTAATGGAACTAATATATAATTGAGAATAGTTCTTTAGGAATAATAAATAGATGGTGAAATGGACTGATATTGCTTATTTTTTTGTCAACAAACACTGTGGCAGAAGAACTAGGTAAGGGAAGAAAAAGGCACTGTAATCTGATCCACCAGATTTCCATTTCTATGGTTATTGTAACTAATGCGAATCTGAAGAGGAAGACTTCTCATGCGATATTCATTTAACTCATAGTTCTACGTGTGTCTGAAGTGAATGGGGATTATGCTTTCACGATATTCATTCAACCTACAGTTCCATTCATTTGTCATCATACTTTCCTGGCAAAAATTCGAATGACTTAAGTCGTATTGTCTAAATGTTATTACTAGAATCTGATGAAATTTGAGATTTGTTTGGCTAGGAAATTTGAGATTTGTTTGGCTCGGAAATTTGAGATTTGTTTGTCCAGGAAAAGAGATAAATTGGTGGGGAGGGTACAAGAGAAAGGTTCATAAAATGGGTTAGACCATGGTGAAGTGAGAGAGTGTTGGATATTGTTGTGGGTAGGTTCAGCAGTCAAAAAGGTACTATTCATGTGTTAGCTCACAAATTGGAAGTGTAAATTACTCTAATTTTCTTAAAATTTACATAGTGAAAACATTGAAAATTCTATAGTGATAGGTTTTATTACCCACATATTAAGTAAAGAAATTGTGAACACATTGGGTGTTAGTCGATGCAGTCTGTTGTAGTAGTAGCTACTTGACATGGATCAGAGAATTTATTCCATCTCCTTGGAGGTGCTTTGCAACCTTTTCTGAAGAAAGTTTGTGTCAAGTTTAGCTTGAGCAGAATGGTGTCTCAGTGATGAAAGTAACAACTAGGGAATCGAAATGATGTTTGTTATATTTAGGGAAATTTATCAAATCACACCTAAAATATGAACCATTTAATATTTGACCTATATTTTGAGGCAGCTTTAGAAAGCCAATCAAAGGGCACATTTGTATGTGCGGAAAATTGTGGAAGGGGCCCTTTTCACATTTGCCCCTCCACCAATAAGCATAGGGAATATGATAAAAATAACTATGGGAGTTTTGGGATTGGGTTTGTCTCTCTCTCTCTCTCTCTGAGTCTTTTTCCATTGATGGGCTATTTATGGCTTACAACGCAACAAATTCAATGAATAAGTATTTGTATTACACAAAGAACTTTTTTCGTCAATTCACGAAGATAACAAACATAAAAATGTTTTCCACGAACTCACAAATAAATATTGCTTGTTAGACGGAAAAGTAAGTATTATCTGACTATATCTGACTATATTAAGTAAAAAACAAAGCAGCAAAACTTTTTTGAGAAAGTTAACTAACACAGCAGTAAAATTCAACACATTTTTGAAATAAAAACTGATCTATCATGAGAATTTGAAACAAAAGAAAGTAGAGCCTATATATTCACCTATTCACATAATTATTTTGACAATGACACAAATTCCATGACTCTATAAACAAACACAATAACTGTTCTCTCCCCTTTGTGAATTCTAACCTCTTCTTTCTCTCTCTAAAAGCTTCCAAATCTCAAACCCTCTCATAATGAAAAACTAAAAAGCTCAACCCGAAGTCTTAGTGGATTTGAAATCAGGCTTTGAGGTTTCAACTTTGGGAATAGTCACAATGAGAACCCATTCTCATAAGGGACTTGGGCCTTGAAAGATCTCTATACGTCTCGTAATTTTGGGATAGAAATGCATGGCAACTTCCTCTCTCTGTAAGAGGGTGGATATTATAGGCTTGGAAGATAACCTTGCATAAGGCCACCAATCTAGGGAGAAATGATGTTGATATGCAAACATGTGTGCCTAATGAATATGGACAAATTAAGTCAAAATGTGCTCGTGAAATTATCAAAGAACACGGGGCCAAAAATAAAACACCTGAGACTCTATGTGAGAAAGCAATACACCCAAGGATCTCGTGGTTTACATGGGTTGCTTATCAAAAGAGGCTGTAGACCTCCGATAGAGTGCAAAAATGGGGTTATCATGGTTGTAATTGATGCCCCCTATGTAGTGAAGATTGAAGATCATTATCACCTCTTCTCACATACACCTTCGTGGGTGAGCTTTGGACAGCAATCACTTGGCGATTCAATATCAGAGCCATAGCTGGTTCCAACATCCAAAGTCTCCCAACAAATTGGTTCATTTTTTCCAAAGAATTTTTAACAAATTCCTTGTGCCTCTCTTCCCACTCTAGTTTGATCATATGGAAAGAAAGAAATCGATGTGAAAATGCAGTCCATTGTCATCATGCCAATCAAATGATAATAAGGAGGTGGTAGGAAAAATCAAAATAGCATCCCTGAAGAAAATAGAATTCCTTCAAAGAATGCAAGAAAAAATCATATACAAAAGATTGGAAATACAATCTGCCCATTGACATTGAGTGATGTAGAGCGACTGTGGTGAGTCATTTTGTTCATTGAGCAATAGAGAGAGTAACTTCCAGGGAGGCTCATTGTGAATGCCATATCACTTTTCATGCAAATTAATACAATGGATGGGCTTGCTGCACAAACCTTTGCTACCTTAGCGAAAAAAGAGAACCCGTTCTCCACAGATTCCTTTACTTCATCAACCCATGCATTTTCAGTAGGGGTGGCAATGGGTTGGGTATGGGTCAGGTCTTGCTGGACACTTACCCAGACCTGAATAGTACGAGTTGGACCCATACCCGAACCTAGCCCTGATGGGTCCATAGATCCCATACCCGTACCTAAACCCAAAACGTAGGTTTGGACCCAGGACCCAAACCCGTACCTGACCAGCTTTTCTTATGTATTTGATTTGGTCAATTACCCATGGGTATGTATGAGGGTTGTTGATGGGGGTCAAAGATGAACTCACCCATGGTGAAACACTCTATCTGGGTGACCATCCAGGGGTTTGGATGGTGCATGTGATGAGGTCACTGGGGATGGTATTGGCTTATAGATGGGAGCGCTCATTCATGGTTTCGAGTGTTGTTGAGCAATCCAAGGTGAAATGGTTGTATGGGGGGTATGGTTCGCCCCATGAGTCAGAGGAAACTCCTTGGGGGTAATGATTTATCTCATGGAATGGGTGAGGCATAGGTTCACCATGGAGTGAGGATGGTTTTGTGAGATGGGTGAAACTCACTGGGGTGGATGGTTCACACCATGAGGCATATGGGGCTCTCTGGAGATGGTGATTTGCTCCATGGGGCATATGAAACTCTCTGGGGCTAACGGTTTCCCTTATGAGGTGCGTGAGTCTCACTGGGGTAGTGGTTTGTTCCATTAGGGGGGCAAAACTCCCTGGGGATTGATGGTTTTTCTCATGGAACGGGTAAGGTATAGGCTCATCAGGGTGGTGAGTTTTGCTATGAGGTAAGTGTAACTCCCTAGGGATGATGGTTTTACCTCATAGGGCATGTGAGGCAACCTATAGGGGATGATGAGTGATGCTATTGGTTTGAAATAATGGTGACTCATTGGTGGGATGGGTGTTTGGGTGGAGCGCTCATTTGTATTCTTTGAATGATGCTCGATTGTAGTGATAAAAATCTGGGTTATCTGAAATGAAGGTCATGATGTGAATGATGGTGAATGTGAGGCTCAAGGGTGGCTGATGAGTCACCAGGATGTTGAGCGAGCCGTCTGAGTAGCATGGGTCGAGCCATGGGCTTGACGGTGTGTGCAAGTGACCTGAAGTGAGTGAAAGAAGAGAGAGAAAGAGATGAAAGCAAGAGGGGAGAAGGTGTGGGCCATGGTTGAACCATGGGCTTTCGAAATGAAAGTAGATGAAGTCGAGGAAGGTGCATTAGTGCCCATGGCTAGGCCATGGGTTTTGAGGTGAGAGGTGAGAGCATAAGAGAGTGCATGATTGTGTGCCCGTGGTCAAGTTATGGGCTTTGAGGTATTGTGAGTGTAGTGTAATATTTGTGTGCCCATGAGTGAGCCATGGGCTAGAGGTGGTGAGATGAAACAAAGGGGAAGTGAGAGAGTTTGAGATAAGAGGTGGGGGAGTGTGCCCATGGGTGAGCTGTGGGCACAATGAGAAAACGAAGAGAGTGGGCAAGACGAGAGGGTGCGATGAGAGTGTGCCCACGATTTAGCAGTGGGTACGTTGTATGGTGGAGAGAGTTGGAGACGAGAGAGAGAAAAGGGGTGTGCCCATGGCTAGAGATGTGGCCGTGGGCACGATGTTGAGTGGGCAAGATGGGAGAGAAGGGTGTGTGTGACCATGGCTTGGCCGTAGGCATGATATAGAGTGGGAGAGAGAGAGAGTTGGGGGGAGAAGGGTGTGTGCCCACCAGTGTATCAAAAAGCGCTAGGCGGGTCCTAGGCAGTTGCTACCCAGTTGAAAAAAAAAAGTAAAAATCCCAATATACCATGTTTCAAGTTGAAAGAAAAGAAGAAGATAGAAGGCGAGAAGAGAATTTAGATAATCCATATTGTTAAAACAGTAAACTGTAAAACCATACAAGTGTAGGATATAAAAGTCAACACTCAACATAACAAAAATATACAGAAATTTAGAAAATATACAGTCTAACAAAAGTCAACACTCATGACTCAACACAACAGTCAACAGACTCAACACTCAGCACCAAGAGGTAAGAGTCTTCAGTCATCATCATCATCATCATCAGAAGGAATATCAATAAGGCAAGTCTCATCATATGCATCAGAGTCGAGACCATCATCCTCAGAGTCATCTCCCTCTTCAATATAACGCTTGTCCTCCTTTGTTTCTTTTGAATCTGCCTCTTCCTCCTCTTCTTCTACCTTCCTCTTACTAGTATGTGCAGTCTATGTAGATGAGGCCCAAGGAGTCTTGGCTGCTCTACCCTTTTTTTTGTGCTTTTCTAAACTCAAATATTGTATAATTTCCTCCTTGGTAGCCTCAAGAACATTTTTAGACGGGGCAACATCCCCTGTAATACCGGCAAAGTGTTTTTTCAAGCCGTAAATGCCCCCATTAGTATCTTTTTCACAATAATTACATTTAATACAATTTTTATCACTTGGATTTGGGTTATAACCATACTTCCAACCTGGATCACCACTCCGACTAGAAACTGGAGAAGATACTTCCATACAAAAAGGCTTATTTTCACCCTTTTTTGGTTATTCAAAATTCAGAAGATATCTAACCTCATCTCGAACTGCTTCAGGAACGTTTGTACAAGAAGCAACAATACTTTTAACACCAACAAGGTGCTTTTTGAATCGGCTAATACCCCCATTGGTATCTTTTTCACAAAAATTACACCTTATACAATTTATATCATTTGGTTTTGGGTTGTACCCATACTTCCAACTCGGATCATTTTTTCTAGGAGTAGCAGAAATAGATCTATGACAAGGATTTTGTTCTTGTTTTTGTTTTCCATAGCTTGAAAATTGCTTAATCTCGTCCTTGATAGCTTCATGAACATTTTACAAGGGGCAACATCCCCCTTAATATCGGCAAGATGTTTTTAAACCGGTTTATGCTTCCTTTTGTATCTTTTTCACAAAAATTGCATCTAACGCAATGTTTGTCATTTGGATTTGGGTTGTATCAATATTTCCAACCTGGATCTCCACTCTAACTCCTGAAGAAGACATCCCAAACTAAAACAAGCAATCTAAATAATGCACTTGCTTTGGTTGCTTGAACTCCAAACTCTGAGAAACACTTCGATGATTCAATCCAATGAAATGTAGTTTTTTGGAGGTTTCTGTTACTATAAAAAGGGTTCTGGTGGGTTTAGAGTTAAAATGAACCTAAAAGTCATCATTCTTAACTTTTATATCTTTGAAAAAATAAATAAATAAATAAATAAAAAGTTTTCTGCCTCTGGGCAAGGCGCAGGCCGCCTAGGGAAATACTACCCAATTTGCATCGCTCAAGCCTTCTGGACCGCCTAGGCACTGGGCGGTCTGTTTTTTTGAACTATGGTACCCACGGTGTAGAGTGGGGAATGTGAGAGTTAGACGAGAGGGGAGAGGGAGGCACCGAGCCAGCGGCTATGCTGCCCGGCTCGTGCGAGAGAGAGAGATGTGAAGAGGAAGGAGAGAGAAAAATGGGGGGTCCAAAGCATGGGCACAACTTTGCCCACCTTCCTCGAAGATCTTTGAGCTAGATTACCCCAAGGATTGGAAGACCATTGCTGTCCTCAGGTTGATGACCACTAATGAAGGGTCACGTGTACTTCTCTCTCTTAAGGGTAAGATCGGGTCCTCGTTTGATGGTCTTCGTTTTATTTACTGATGGAAGGAGGGGTGTGTTGCAAGAGGAGCTGAGGGACGGCCCACACAGGACTTGAATGCCCTGATTGGTAGTGGTGCTCATTTTGCCCCTGCTGCCGTACGCACTTATGACTGTCATGATGGGGCAGCCATGGCGGCAAAGGGAAAGAAGAAGAGGAAGGAAGCTCTAGAAGATAATGAGGCTGAAGAGGTCGTGAAACCTACACCTTGGAATAGTGCTCGATTGAAGAAGCAAACTCATTCGATGCATCTTCCTCCTCGTACTGCCGGTCACCATCGTTTTCCCCTAGCAAGCCTCAGATTATGCCACCAAAGCCCTTGAAGTCTTCTAAGCGCGTGGCTCGTGCAGTTTCTCCTGTTCTACCTTCATTACCAGTGGTAGCCCCTGTCATTGAGTCGGTCATAGCTTTACCGACTCCTCCTTGACAAGTCATGTTCAGCTTGAATTGTCGTCCCATGGAGAGAAGCCCTTCCCCTATGGTGAAGACAGTTGATGCGGTGACGACACTTGATGAGGTTGTCATCAAGTGTCGGCCCCCCCGCGCCGTCTTCCGGGGGGCCTCTCTCTCTTTTTCCTTTTGAAACAAACCTCCTACCTCAATGCTCCCCATGAGGAAAAATCCAAAATTCTGAATTTTGAAATTTCAAAGTCGAAAAATCTGAGAACTTTGTGGAATGATGATAATACCAATTTATTTTGATTTGATTCATTGTGAAATATCAAGAGAGGTTAAAGGAGGTCTTGAGTGATTTAAAGCTCGATATTCATCCAAAACATCATGGATCAGAGACGGAAACATAGGATAGCCATCTTTTGTTAAATTGTTCCCTATTTGGGATCATTTGATGTCTTCATCAGGTTTTTATACGAATGGGGTTACGGGTTGGGAATGTGGTCATTGCCTGGATAAAAAATGATCAAGATATTGATGTGGAGATGATGGTAGTGAGTGTTTGGTTGCCCTTAGAGCCAAAGAGGTCTTCTATGGAGAGGGCTTGACTTGTGATATAGTTGAGGAGTCTTCTGTGCCCGCTTCCTATCCTTGGAGGACCACTAGATCCACTGCTATGTTTGGTACTTAGAGGAGGGGGGAGATGAGGAGGAGATCGATTCAGAAGAGACCGAGGAGGTGGGCCATTATGTTGAGGAGGGTGGTGACTCTGATTATGATGGCTTGCAATCAGATGGAGGTGCTAGGATCAAAGCCGATGAAGAAGATAAAGACTTAACATTATGTACTTTCATTTATATATATATATATATATATATATATATGTTGTGTCATTTTCTCTATATTAGTAGACATGTGCTTTTGTAAAGTATTTTGAGTTGTCATCATGGACATGGAGTGATAAAATTCAGCCATATAGCATCGAGATTTGGAAATGCTATTGTTGGTGACTCTTTGTGATTGTTATGTCTTATATTTACGTGTGTTGAATGTGTTTCAACATTTACCTATAGACTTTCAAACTCTAGAATTTACCCTTTCAAAATTTTAATGTTCAATTGCTAATACTTTATATAAAGTATGTAATTTGTTAGTTTGTTATATGCATTGTATATTTACATGTGAGCGCGTATACTATGCTCCTGTGGGAACATACTATAGACCTACACCCTCAGGCAGATGGCCTACTTGGGAGATTTTTTTTCACGCTGAAATTTTGAGAACCTCCTAAGAGTCACAAGATGAATATTTTCAAAAGAGAAAATTTGAAATTTAGGGTTTTTAGCACGTAGATCTCACCCGCACAAACTTGGACAGTTTTTGTTCAATATCGAGTCATTATTTTTTCAAGTGCATAGAGAGGGCGATTTGGAATTTTTTTGAGGTTAGTCTATGGGTTGAAGAGCTTACATCCCCAAAATTTTGGGCCCCAAAATTACTTTTAGACTAGGTTTTATCCAAGGGAGTAAATAGTATGCTCCCATGGGAGTATAAAATTTGGTCATGTGTAATTATATACAATATATGCATGTATTTGTATTTTCTCTGCACAGTTATACCCGTATATGTGTTTGGTGCCCCTCGAACGGGCACCTGCCTGAGTGGCTGGCCTTTTCCCCTGACCTTTAGGTGCCTCCTAGTGGCTTTCAAAACATTGTTCAATGTGGAAAAACCAGTACACAAGAAAAACGACAACCATGGTTAAGTTTATTATTACCTTAAGAAGGTTTGAAATGGCTCGTTATGACCTTGTCGAAGGGAGATTAAACACTGAGATGAGGTTGCCACTCCATGCTGTCCTTGTACCAAGGTAATCCTCTCTCCAAATGAACCCATGGCATTGGGACAAATGTAGGTGACGCAAGATTTGGTTTGTGGAACGAGGTTTGCTTTCACCATTTTCATCCTATTGAAGCTATGGACTTCTATATCAAATGCGATCATTTTATATGGAAGAAATTAAGTTTGACATGTTTTATGTACCGGGCCTATCATACTTCTGTAATCTCACATGTTTGTATTCACATACTTGCTGTGAATATGATTTATTAATGGGATATCGTTTCCGAAGAAATCTTTTCGAGTTGATTTATGAATGTAGAGATAATATCGTGTGGTAGTAGATGCTTCTGCCTGTGCTCGTTTTCTATAATTTTCTGCATGTATTTTGGCTTTCAGAGACAAGTATAGCTATGACTAGTTTTTCACAGTACCTATCTAGGGAAGGATTCTGTTTCCTTTGGATATCTTATTACTGGCTCTTGCTTCCAAGAACATCTTGTTGAATTTGTGATTGTGATGGGCAATGCTCTTTAATAGTTTTATTTTACTACCCAAAATTCTGTTACCTCTAATATACCGATATCTAAAGTTTGTACATTTTACTTAAATTTAATATAATGCAGTTACTCATCTGAAAAAATAAAACTGAGGTATCGTTTTGCAGGTATTCTGGCATGCTTGGATGGATATATGAATATAGCCATGGAGCAGACAGAAGAATATGTCAACGGGCAGCTGAAAAATAAATATGGGGATGCATTTATTCGAGGAAATAATGGTACTTCCTCTTAACTAGTTTTCTATTCAATCCATAGTCAACGACTAACAATTGCTTATCAATGGGTATAGCATTTGTTTGATTGTTTTATTTTTGGCAGTTTTATACATCAGCACCTCCAAAAGGACACTTCCGGAAGGGGCGTGAGAGGATTTCACCGCCACATCAGCAGGATCATTTTGTATGGATTATTTGAATCAGATATGCATTTGAATCTTTTGTATTTAGATATTTTTGTCAGGTAATTTTATCAAAGCCCTTGAAATAGAATTAATGTATCTGATGCACTGCTATCTTTTTATTGCCGCCCCATTGTATGCATTTGTGATTCGGGCTTCAGTGGCAGGTGTTGAAGAAAATACTTTATTTGTTTATCCTTATATTTCTCATTCACCGGTTGATTACCAGCGGGGCATGTATGCTGTTGCATTTGCTGATTGGTAAAACTGTTCTCTGTTAATATGCAGCACCAGATGAAAGATGATGGTAGTTAGGGTATATTTACTTACTTGTGATCTCCAATTCTCCCCATCATGATCCGGTGATTAAAATTTCTTTTTCTCCAATGACAAAATTGTTTTTCATTTTATCTTTAGTTTCGAGATTGCAAGCCGAATAAAAAGAATGTTTGGTCACCTACCTTTATATAGCGATATACCGATCCACCGAATGTTTCTTACCTTTATATAGCGATCCACCGAATGTTTCTAAAATTTTTGCCAAGCCATCACGGATTTCCATTCTGGATTACTAAAAACGTTAGGAGCCGGTACCAAAAAATCTATTACATGGAAATATGGCATTTCCACAATTTGGGTACACTCCATAACAATGAAATCCATTCTGGATCACTTAAAACGTTAGGAGCAGGTACCAAGAAATCTACTACATGAAAATATGGCATTTGGTACACTCCATAATAATGAAACCCAGTGATTTTTCTATTTTTACGCAGATTACTAAAAATGGTAGGGAATGGTATTTCCACCATTTGGTTACTCTATTCCGAATGAAGTAATGAAATAGAAAAGCTAGGGAATGATATTTCCACCATTTGGGAACACTATTCTTAATGAAGCAATGAAATAGAATGAGATCACTCGAGATTTTTTCAAAATTCATATAACACACATTACAGGCTGTTAAAGTAGAAAATCTATTGCGCATTTGATGGGTAATCATTAAAAATTTATAAAATGCAACTCTTCAACTTATATCACGTAATCTTTAAAAATCTATAAAATGCCAACTCTTTAATTTATCCCAGCTTAATAAAATGTAAAGCTAACTATTCGGTTTGTATAGATGCTCTCTCCTTCTTTAAGCCTTCTCTCTCTAAACCCCCAATCCAAACTTAATAAAATGCCAATCCAAGCTTTATCTGTCTAAACCCCTCATCCAAGCTTAATAAAATGCCAATCCATCTACTCGCGTAGTTGCTCCCCCCCTCTAAGCCCTCCCTATCTGAACTCTTTCTTTTTAATACCCCTCCCTCTCTAAGCCCTCTCTCTCTAAACACTTTCTTTTTAAGACCCTTCCCTCTCTAAGCCCTCTCTCTCTAAACACTTTCTTTTTAAGACCCTTCCCTCTCTAAGCCCCTTCCCTTTCTAAGCCCAATGTGTGTTTTATCTCAGTTTAATAAAATGCCAACTTACCTATTCGTTCCTTCTCTAAGCCTCCGTTTCTATGACTTCCTCTTTATAAGCCCTTCCTCTCTAAAACTCTTATTTCAGCTTAATAAAATGCCCATCCACCTATTCGGTTTGTATGGATAGTCCCTCCATCTCTAAGCCCTCCGTCTTGAAGCCCCCTCCATCTCTAAGCCCTCCCTCTCTAAGCCCAGTGTCTTTCTACCACCTATTTGGTTTGCATATGTCCCTCGTTCTCTAAACCCTCCCTCCATCTTTAAGCCCTCCCTCTTTAAGCCCATGTCTAAGCCCACCATCTCTAAGCCCTTCCTCTGTGTGTCTCTCTATCACCTATCTCTAAGCCCTTCCTCTGTGTGTCTTTCTATCACCTATTCGGTTTGCATACGTGCTCCCTCCTCTAAATCCAGTACGTCTCTCTACTTGACAAAATGCTTAATAACATGTATAGCTGCTTCCCTCCCTTTCTAAACCTGTCCCTTTTTTCTTGAACTTTAATAACTGGTTTGCATAAGGTTTCTCTTGAACTTTAATAACTGGTTCATAAGGTTTTTCGAACTTTAATAATTGGTTTGCATAAGATGCTCCCTTTCTTTTTAAGCGTTCCGTTTTTTTTTAAGCCTATTTATCTTTAAGCCTCTTCTTCTCATTTGGAATTTTTTTTTTTTTTTTGACTTTTTCCATTCTCCCTCTCCATATCCATTATCCTCAGCATATCTAATCAATGAAAAATTACACAACACAATTATAATAAACAATTTCACCCAGCATAAGAAATTACACAACACAGTTATAATAAAAAATTTCACTCAACATAATCCTCATAAGAGATTAGTAAAAACTCAGTTGAAATAAGATACCTCTTTAGTTTCTTTCAATACCTCAAAATTTTTTATTGCAAGTACTGAACCTTCTAGTTTATTAATCAAACTTCTTCACATTTTTTAACTTGTACGGTAAAGATTTTTAATTTGGTATCACAAATTTATTGCCTATTTGAAATTATATGATAGACATTTGAAAGATTTCTATAAAAAATAAATAAAAACATGTTATTCCAATTATATTATTCCAATGACTTATCATGTTGAAACTAAAGTCTAATTATGGAAGAGGATATGTGATTCCATATAAGTGCCAAAGGCATACAAAATAAATAAGAAATTGTGTGATGATGACCGACATGTGATTCCATGTAAGTGCCAATGGCATACAAAATAAGTAAGAAATTGTGTGATGATGACCTTAAAATGGTACGAGTTATTAGTAGAAAATCTTTTTGGAATGGTGATGATGTTATTATTAAAAAATCTTTTTGTAATGATGTGATGATTACTTTCATTCTACATTTCAATGGAAAAAAATGATAGTTTATAAGCTAAGTGTTGATAAAATGTTGGTAATGCATTCCTATATTTTTTCACCAAATAGAAGCTATGTATTTCTCAGATTGCATCTAAATATTACTCATAAATACTACCAAACAGTAACAATCCATTTACAGGATTTTGTTCTCTAGGACCATTAGTTATTCTAGCCTGTCATGGTAACCAGCGGCTTAAGAAGCTGGTAACTAGAAATAACCGATAGAGAGACAGGGAAGATGGTCTGACATTAGCAGATGCTTGCTATATTTTTGGCTAGCCACTCCATACAAATCGAGAGATTGATCGGCTGCCAATTAGCTTGAGAAATTATTCCTCAAACATAATTAAAATTGGAACAGTTATTGAGGAAACGCTGCCCAAAAATGGGTCGGTTGACCTGGACCTGCCCGGGTTATTCATCCTCTCTTCTGGTGCCTAGTTTTGGTGGTCAAGCTTCAGATCTTAAGAGATTAAAAAATATATAAGAAAAGTCTTAAAAATGTTTACAGGCGAATTGCTATTGTTTCTCCACCTCACATGTCTGTGACGGTTTTGTCAAAACAACACCACAAACCTACGGGGGCGGTCCCCATATATTTTTTGTATTAAATTTGCATTTGCATGGAAAATCGGATTGCATCGAGCTTATGGGCGAAAACATGATTCATTTTCGTCCAAAGTCGTTGTGTAGTGGCTTATATATATATATATCCAAAAAAAGAGTATTTATTATGTGTTTTTTTAATGTTTTCAATCATTTTGGTAAAAATTGAAAAGTGTTGTCGTGATGAATACTCATTTTTTTTATTTTTCCTTCATTCTTGGATTGTTTTTAAAATACCCCTTGTTAGAAATTTAATTTTCAAAATCTATTTTTTTTACTTCTTATCCTCTTTGAGATGAATTTTGTTTAATTTTACTTTAATCATATTTTTTGGGATTTTTTTTAATCTTTGGAACACTTTTTAGCCTGGTTGGTACCTATCCAACGTGGTCCGATTACATGGACGAAACCCAATATCTCTTCTCTCTCTCTCTCTTAAACCTATTTTTTTTTGTACTCAAGACCCAATCGCTCCCGTCCCATCCCTCTTTGCCTCCTTTATTATCTAGACTTCCCTAGTCTCTCTCTAAAGACGGAGAAAATCCATTGGTTGGGCTGTGGTCGTCTATTGATTATGGCTTCAGAGAGAGCTTGGTTTCCAAGACACTATCTGCAATTCATGCTCTTCGTATTCATCATTTCCTGCTCCCCCACTTCAAAACTGCTTTTTCTCTGATTTTTTATATATTTTTTTTCCTTATTCAATCTTCATCTGCTGCTACTTTTTGTTATGGGAAATGCTACTATTTTTTAGCTGGTATTGGAGAAATAAAATCCCACATGCCATTTGCACGCTCCATTGTAAAGCTAAGAAGAAAGGAGCGATCCTTAGAGCTTCACCAGTGATCCACCGAGCTTTAAGAGCTTCTCTCCCTTTTATATATACAACCAAGTTGAGCTCTGCTCTGATCACAAAAAAAGGAGGTAGAGAAAGAAAATAGAGATCAAGTAGAGCTACATAGAGAGAGAAGAGAGATTATGGGGTTGAGGCTGGTAGTGGGTGTGTTACTCTTGATGAGATAGAGGTTAATGGTGGGAAGAGAGAGATAAAGAGATGTAAGATGAAGAGAGAGAGAGAGAGAGAGGAAAGGGCTGGCGAGGGCTCACTATGGTTTGAGCAGAACAGATGGAATTGTTAGAGAGAGAGAGAGAGAGAGAGAGAGAGTGAGACGGTATTTATTATCAAGTGATTAGAGTGCGTCTTACTGTATTGAACCGTGCGAGGTCGGTTTTAGGAGAAGTGTATAGTGGTCGTCGGTCGTTACGGC